GGGAGAGGCTACGTAATTAGTTAAATTACCAAGCAAGTTGTAGAAGTAGAATCAAACTACCGATAATGGAACTAATTATAATAGAACTAGCTGTATTTTTGGTACTTACACGAAGAGTTGCAGTATACTGAGCAGTTGTTTGATGATGTTCTGCATGAGTTCCTGCTGTTATAAAACGATGTCCATAACGTGGCAAATCGAAATGAATAACTTTAATAATACTCTAATAATTTGCAGCACTCAAAGTAGAAGCACAAATAGCAATAATAACAATAAGAGTACCCTAAGAATTAAAAGATTCCAACATACTATAAAAAACTAGCTATTTAGTATAAAAACCAATCAAAGGAGGAAGTCCCATTAGACTAAAGAAAGAAATAGAAAAAGCAAGAGCAAGAGCAGGATTTTGTTTATATAGACCACTAAGATCAGAAATTTGGTCAATTTCAATACCATAAGAATTACTAACAGTCTAAATAATTGCAAAAATTCCCTACAACGAAATAATATAAACAGCCTAATATAGATTAAATGTTGTAATATCACAAATCTAAGCCAAAAATAGAAAACCAACATTAGAAATACTAGAATAAGCCTAAAAACGTTTAATTTTCCATTGACTACCAAGTCCAATAGAACCAACTATAAGAGACTAAGTACCAACTAGAAGAAAAACAGATTCCAAAGGTTGCAAAAGATTATAAACTTGATACAATTGCATTAGAAAACACTATATTGCTATTTTTGGAATTGTAGTCATCCAAAGTGTAATATAAGTTGGTATATTATCATACTAATCTGGTGCCCAATTATGAAGAGGAGCTGCACCTAGTTTAAATACAAAAGTTATAGTCATCTACTACTAAGCCTAAGTTTCCTAAGAATCTATAACAAGTCGTGGATCAGCATTTAGGCTGGCATGAAATCTTTGACTATTTAGAACCATCATTATACTATCATAATGAGTACTACCTGTCTATCCAAACAACTAGGTTATAGACTAAAGCAAAAAACTAGTAGTCTAAGCACTCTATAGAAAATATTTTATAGATGCACTCTACGCTTTTTCAGATTGACCTTGTCCAGATTGACTTACCTACTAATAAAGAGAAATACTAAACTATTCCCATGCAATTATAGTTATCAACCAATCTGTACTTTCCTATAGATATACCTATCCTATTAGATTTGTCATCATTATTAGATACGACAAAGATAGTCCTTTAAACTAAAACCCTTTTACAGCTGTAACTTCTTGACTCTACTACTAAATACCCTATACCAAAAATCCTACAAATAGTTCAACTCTCTAAATGTTTACATCTCCTATTGTAAGTAGTCCATCCATACATAGCACTGTTGGAGCACTTTGACCAGACTAACCAAGAGGTAGGTTTATTAGCTAGTCTAGTTGAAAAATTATAAATATTGCCAAACACTAAATTGTTACTCTACTTAGATAAGAAGATGCACTATAAGTACTACTAGGTTTATTTGGCTAAATCAAAAAATTTAGATAAACAGACCCTAGTGTTCCAAGTCCTAGTATCATATATTTAAGTCCGTCCTTCGGTTTGGACTGATCTCCGCACAGGTCTACGACTAGTGCTTCGAAGCATTCCAAGATGCCTCCGCCATTAGAATCATAGCAAACTACGCCGTCCATCCTTCGGTCGGTCTCCCCCTTCGGGCCGCTCGTTGGGTTGGGAAGCATTTCAAGCACTTAAATCCATGCTCATGCGTAACTTATATATAAGTAAACCGACATACACAGTGGGCATCCACACCGCAAGTTATATACCCCATGTGAATCCCCCTACTGAACCGTTCTTCGGTTGGTCGCATTTACGTTCGTCTGCCCTACAGGCCACTCAATTGTCAGTTCAACCCAAGGACGCAACCCCTCCCTTAAAGAGTTGCTTGCATATTGCGAGATTCCATACCAATTATGTAAACACTTATCACCCTTCGTAAATTGCCTCGTGCCATGAAAAGCCCATAGGCACGTGAAACGTTGATCCATGCAACCCTGTAGGGACGTATAACAAGCATCCGTCCCCTTAGGTCAAAGTTGAATACGAACCGAAGGACGACTTACCATTAGACTTTATCTAGGGATGGATGGAATCGAACCATCAAAACTGGAACCCAAAACCAGTATTTTACCATTAAATTACATCCAGTCGTAACCTAAAACGAACCTACAGAGCTACGGCCCGAAAGGACGGACATACCAACCTTCTGTGACCACCTTTAGGGTGGGACGATCACGTAAGAGGCCCTCTACGGGAGGGGGGCACTCACTTAGCATTCACACCCCCTCTACGGGAGGGGGCACTCACTTAGCATTCACACCACACATCCCTTCTGTTGTATTCTTAGAAGGCTTACCAAATGAACGCGATGAGTGGACTCGTCTGTCCGTAGGTAGGTATGTCTCTCCTATGCTGAGTAACTCGCTGCAGACCGTCCGTCCATAGGTAGGTAGGACTAACAGATCTAATTTGAATCTAAACTGAAGGGCTCATACGACATAACTAGCCGTAGACTGCTGTTGTATGTTGAGGCAAGCCAGTCCTTCAGTCGGACAGTGCGTTCCCAGCCCAACCTTCGGGTGGGGCCTCTATGGGATACGCCTGCTGTGAAAAAACCGCAGGATATGTCATGAATCATGGTCCCGTCGCACTACGGTACAGTGATCGTGACCTGAAACCTCGGTGACGAACGCACTGGATTGGAATGCTCGTGACCTCGGTGACGAACGCACTGAGCTAAAATGCTCACGAATCACTTGGAACAATTTCCTATGCTCCCATATTCCATTCATAAATGAAACCTATAGTTAGAATTATCAAAAAAGTTGTTACAATCCAAAATCCTATAAGAGATTTCATACTAAACATTATAGTAGCCTAAGGAAATAGAAAAATGATTTCAAGATCGAAAATCTAATACAATATAGCAATTACATAATAAAGTATATCAAATTTCATTCTTGCATCACCTATTGGTTCAAGTCCACATTCATAAGCAGACAAATCTGCTCCCATAGACCAAGGGTCTATTTTATTATTACCACTAGAAATTATAAAGTAGTTAGCCAAAAAAAGTGCACTAACTATAACCTAAATAATTAGACTAATGATTAGAAATGCCATCATTTAAACAAAGTTTACTCACCAATTTACCGTTTTAACAACGAGCGAAACTCGTGGATCACAGCCATACGTCCTTGGGTTGCATCCCGTAGGAACGCGAAAGCTCGTGAATCACAGCCATGCGTCCTTGAGTTGCATGGCGATAATCATATGGTCACAAACCCCAAAGGGATATGATCGTTACGTGTATCGGAGATGCGACGATTGACCGACCAACCCCCTACGGGATCGCTGTGCATACTGACAGATAAGGCTTTTGTAGTGCGCAGCCTCGTCCCGTGGTGAGCACGAACCTACCCAACTAGAAGGGCCAGGCACGGCGATGTGGTCCTACGGTAAAACAGCGTGATGTGCTTATAACTTAACGATCATCACGGCATCCTACGGCTGCGATTGACACCTGTAGCCCATAGGGGTCGTAGACTTGAAGGGGGGGAATGAGCATACGATTAAAAACGGTGACCCTACCCGACCCGAAGGAACGGGACGGATCGTGACAACCCGACGGGACGCCCCTGCGGATCGTGACAACCATCTCAATGCACAGCCAGAACATACCAAATCGCAGGACGATATGTACAGACCGATATGTATGGGGGGGCTATTTATGACCAACCGACTAAAGGACGAACAAGATCGTCATGAGTCTTAACGAGAACGAAATGCAATACCGCCTCGTAGAGGTTCATAAGCTATCTACTATGCCAAAGCTATAGCAGATTCAGCACCAGCAAGAGGCAAAATATACAAAGTCAAACTGGTTCCAATATTATCATCCAAATGAAAAGATAGATTTACCTATAGAATACCTACAGCCAATAGAATCTATTCCAAAGATATTACAATCATTATAAGACCAGAAGTACGTATACCACCATTAAAAAGAAAAGCCAATACAGCTACACAATTCTAAGCTATTGCTATATTTATACCAAATCCATTCATAAAATTTACAAATAAACGGAAACTATCCGTCCTCTTAGGATAATGTATGAAAATACGACCGAAGGCTATACAACATCAATGTATTCGTTCGTCACTTAAACATCCAATCCTTCGAGCGCTTCGCATCTTTACCTTAATCTGTCGTACGATCCCTCGTCCTTTGGTTGGGATACGCTGCTCGCATGTTCATACGTGACCCTACGGGTTGCTACTTGACCGGAACAGGCGAGGCAACCCAAGGGGGGACGAATCTTTCCGTCGCAGATATACTCTACCTACAAGACCCTACGGGACGTTGCATAGCCCAACCCGAAGGGACGGGGCCCTCTCAACGAGTCGCATGGCTATGCTGCTACACGCTGCGTACATCCCACCCTACAGGGTGTGGCATGCGGAGTACCAGGTCCATCAACGATCGTTCGTCTGCTCGGCTACAGGGCCGCATGAAGCACTTCACAAAAGGGCGTATGTGCAACAGGCGAGGCGTTGCATACCTCTAAAAATCCATTAAGGGGGTATAATACTACGTTGTTTAGCGAACCTTCAATATAGATAAGGTTAAGATGCATTTAGGCTAAGCGATGGTCACAACTTCATGAGCATGGTAAGCCATGTACGTAGGCCTTCCACGCTAACCAGTCCGTAGGTAGGAACGCGTGACAGACCAAGTGGGTTGGTTTGCTATGACACAGCACGCGTGGAGGTTGACTAAGACGCGTTATCTAAAGGCTATGGCCTAACCCCAAGGATACGATGAGCCTTGCGGTTGTGACAGAGGACATGGTGCGGTAAGATATGACCTTATGGGCTTGGAAGGAGTCCTAGGTTCGGTCGACCACACAAGTTCTTTAGATTGGTCATCATCCAATCACGTACCTTAGAACGTCAACTCAGTGAATAGAGGTAAATTGATCGCTAAAAGCTCCTATCCATTTCATCATGCATTGCAAGGGGCTAGAACCGAAGGGGACCTCATGGGTCCTGCTGTAACACGGTCACGATCGTAGGCCTTTCAGACATCCGGTCGCTTCTTAGTTGACCCCCGCGTACGCTGTCAATCCGTCTGTGCCACTCCTGCGGAGGCTTCAGTCGGTTGTTTAAGTGACTGAGCTCGTAGTCATCGCAATAGCAATGATACCAATCATAACTGCCCACAAAATAACTCCTATCAAATACAAAGCAAGAGGATAAGCAATATAAACAACATAAGCCAAATTTTGAATATCAGTAGGACCTTTAAAATCACATGCCCAAGAAGGATAAAAATAAGTTACCAACGAATGTGGTTCCTAAATACCTGTAATACTAAACTAACTTTCTCCAACGTGCTCCGAAGAACCTTCAATAAAAGTACTACGGAACTAAGGACTAATGACCTAAAGGATAAACTAAATCTACGACAACTAAATCCACCATTGCAAATTACTTTTATCTACCCCTTTTGTAACTTGATCCCCTATAGGTGTTTGACCTAGATCAACCATCATAATTACAAACAAAAACTATATTGCAATAGCTCCTACATATACAATAATATAAGTCTAACCTAGAAAATAATAATCCAATAGTGTAAATATAAAAGATCCTGTCTAATATACTACTATCTATAGAGCTACTCGGTGTATTGCATACACTGCACTAACTACAATTAGACCAGAAAATAGTCCTACAGCACATAGTGCTATATAAACATAACAAATCTAAGACATCATAAATCAAAGACGCATAGCGCGACGCATTTTGGGTGACATCCGTCCCCCCTTGGGTCGGTCGGTTTGGGTTCTTTACCATAGCAAGACAAGGACAATTTGTAACCTTTCATAAATCCTTTATACGAGTAGAGCTTCCTCTACGAGTCACTCTATGATGCAGACTGATCACCCCCCCCCCACGGCTACCGCATAATCTTAGGCAATGGCTACCGCATATCCTCCATATCGTAGGACCTTGTAAATATAAGGCACGTAGCGGGGGGAACGCTCTGAGTCATATGGTAGTTCGTTACCCTCAGATTACGACACAACACATAGCCCTGCGGCTACGATCTCACCTCTAACTATCCATCCCACAGTGGTCAGGGCCCTTTGGGTAGGGTCACTGTAAAACTGCATACCGCATAAGGCCTACTTACATGAGCAGGCATAAGCCTATGTTAATCCATGGTGTATGCCTATGCCTACATACGCACGACAATGTTCATCCATGGTGCATGTCAATCAATTGGAGCTTGTAAGGCCTATGTCAATCAATTGGAACCTCTGACAAGTATGAGGTGCGCAGCCTCCATCATGGTCGCAATACCGCTGACCTGCGGACAGTTGTCCACGAGTGTAGCCGTAAGGCCTTGAACCCCCTACGGGTTGCATGGTGACGATGGGCGTACTTGCGGGTTCTTGCGGGTTCTTGCGGGTTTTGAGGGTGGTTGGACTCGAACCAACATTGCGAATCGCACAGATTTACAGTCTGCTGCCAAACCATTAGGCTACACCCCTCATCTCATGGTACCACATGACCGCATTGTGTGCAACCTTGTATGACCGAACGGGACCATTGATGCAAGTGCTGATGACACGGTGCTACGTAGGGGGCAGACATAGCCAACCTCCCCCTCCATGCGATCTGAAGGTATGACCGATGGACGGAACATGCGTATCCTTTGGTGTTACGATCTTGTTTCATAAGTGTGGTCGTAGAGACTCAAAGACCTTCGTCGATCTTCCTTCTGTTACGAACATTCTAGCTCGTTTCATAAGTATAGCCGTAGGGTCTCTTTAACATGACTCGAAGGGACATACGGTCACAGCCGTTCCGTAGGGTTTTACCACGTCAACGTGACGTATGGCGCAGTATAGAGAGGGTAATCATACGGTATGCCTTACGATTGAACGTCCTGTAGGGTTGCATTCACGTCCGCCATTCGTCCGTCCGTACCCTTGGAGGGGGGGTTGGTTGCATGGTGAACGCCAGTGCGACGAATGTGGTCCATCTTTCTGTTAGTTCCGGATACATTCAGCATACGTTCCATTCTCGGTTGTATGAGTTACAAGCCATGTTACTCGTAGGGATGTATGGTGGACGCG